GCCGCGGCCGCGGGCGACGACGCGCGGGCCGTCGACGCGGCGCTCGCGGACGCCGGCGCCCGCGGCGTAGACGCGGCGCACCCGGCCGTCGCCGCGGCGACGGCGCGGCGCGCGGCGCTCGCCGAGGCCGCGGCCGCGCGCGACGCCGCGCGGGCCGAGTGCGCGCGCGCGGCCGCGGGCGACGGCGAGGCCGCCTGCGAGGCCGCGCTCGTCGCCGCCGCGGCCGCCGGCGTGGCCGCCGACGACGCCGACGTCGCCGCGGCCAAGGGCCGCCTCGACGCGCTCGTCGCCGCGCGCGAGCGCCGCCTCGCCGCGGAGAAGGAGCTCGCGCGCGCGGCGCGGTCCGAGACGCTGCCCTGGGTCGAGAGCGCGCTCCGGAGCGCGGAGCGCGCGGGCGTCGACGGCGGGTCCGCGGCCCTCGCCGCCGGGCGGCTGAAGCGCGACGAGCTCAAGCGCCGAGCCGCCGCGCGCGCGGCCGCGGCGGCCGCGCTCGGCGCCGCGGCGACGAGCGACGACGCCGCGGCCATCGACGCGGCCCTCGACGAGGCGCTCCGCTGCGGCGTCGGGCCCGGCGAGGACCTCGTCGTCGAGGCCAAGGCCGCGCGGGACCGGCTCCGCACGCGCGGGGCCGCCGAGGACGCCCTGGCGGCCGCCGTCGCGTCGGGCGACGCGGACGCGATCTCGCACATCCTCGACTTCTTCCGCTACGCGAGCCCGGAGACGCGCCCGTCGCCGGCGTCGATCGCGCGGGCGACGGCCCTGCGCGACGAGCTCGTCTACAAGGCCGAGCTCCTCGCGGCCGCGCTCGCGAACCTCGCCGCCGCGGCCGGCCGCCGCGACGCGGAGCTCGTCGCCGCGTGCCTCGAGGCCGCGCTCGACGCGGGCGCCGAGGACGGCGCCGTCGCCCTCGAGGACGCGCGGGCCGTGCGCGCGGCGGTCCTGCGCGAGCGCGAACGCCGGGCCGACGCCGAGCGCGCGCTCGCGGCGGCGACGGAGGCCGGCGACGAGGCGGAGCTCGCGGCCGCGGTGTCGGCCGCCGAGGCCGCGGGCGTCGCCGACGACGCCGCGACGCTGCGCGGCGCGCGGGCGGCGCTCGCCGCCGTGCGGGAGAAGCTCGCCGCGGAGCGGGCGGCGGCGGCGCGCGAGGCCGCCGCGCGCGACGCGCTCGAGGCCGCGGCCGCGGCGGGCGCGCTGGGGGAGCTCGACGCGGCCCTGGCCGAGGCCGCCGCCGCGGGCGTCCCCGCCGACGACGCCGCCGTGGCCGCGGCCGAGGCCGCGCGCGCCGCGGCGCTCGAGCGCGCCGCGCGCCGCGCGGAGCGCGCCGCGGACCTCGACGCCGCGGTCGCCGCGCGCGACGCCGCGGCGCTGCCGGCCGCGGTCGACGCGGCCCTCGCCGCGGGCGTCGCGGCGGACGACGCCCTCGTCGTCGCGGCGCGGGACCTGCTCGCGCGCCACGCGGCGCACGCGGAGGCCCTCGCCGCGCTCGCCGACGGCGACGACGCGGCCGCGCTCGCCGCGGCCGTGCGCGCGGCGCGCGCGGACGGCGTCGCCGAGGCCGCGCCGGCGCTCGTCACGGCGGTCTTCGCCCTCGAGAAGCTCGAGCGCAAGGCCGCCGTCCTCGCGGACCTCGACGCGGCCGTCGCCGGCGGCGACGGCGCCGCGCTCGACGCGGCGCTCCGCGAGGCCGCGGAGGCGGGGCTCCGGCCGGGGACGCCCGCCGTCGCGCGCGCCATGGAGGAGAAGA